ATAGATAAAACTCTTCAACCAAACCACAAAGGTGATAAACATGTTGTTACTCTTGATGAAAAATAGCCCCTACAGCACAAGATATGTTCCCACATTTTTTAATAATTTAGACAAACTGTGCGCTCTCAGTGTATTCACTGATTCTTGCTTTCTAGGTGGCTCAAGTTCTACAGCTGCTCAGTCTGATCTAATGTACTAGGTTTGAAGAAAAACAGCCTGATTAAAGATAAAGATTTTAAAAATACAATCTAGAATAAAACACTGAGGGTCAGGCCTAGTGTATTTTATTACTTGGCCACTGTGTCATTTTCTACAATTGCCAGAATTAAACAAGTAGCATCCTGATAGAATACATTGAACTACAGGGCCAGTTTCATTGGAATAGGCTGCCAATGTGACATGAATAATCTTCACTTTCATAAGATCTTAATGGATATCTTAGGTGATTTATATGTTCGTGGTAAGAATGTGGTCTTGCACATAAGGACGCACGCATAAGGCCTGTTCAATCAACAATCAATATTTGTATTTATTTACCAGTGATAGACACTCAGGCTATAGATTTCTGAAAATCTAGAGACGTTTTCAGTTTACTCATGCACTATGAGTGTTGCAGTGGCACGTTTACTTGCACCACTAGGCTAAAGAGTGGCCCAACTTCCTTCTATAACTAAAACAAGACCTAATATGTCGGCCTGTTGAGTGTTTTTTTTGTGTGTGTGTGTGTGTGTGTGTGTGTGTGTGTGTGTGTGTGCATACACTGAACCCATGAGCATACTGGCTCCCAGACGTTTTTCCCAAGTCTGGTTGGAAGTGTTCATGCAGAAAGGATTTACAGGAATTGGAGGAGGGTTGAAGCAACAATAGCTCTACCAGAACCTATTACCAAGAAAATGACGCAGGCGTGTTGCGTTCATGTGAGGGTGTGTGCATTTAGTGTATTCATACATCATTTCCCAGTGACTCACAGCCTGTAAAATGATACCCTCACAATATCTGATGGTCAGTGTACATTCATACAGAAAAGAAAACTTTTTAAAACACAGTTGTTTGCAGCTACGTGACCATTGCCTTCTAGTCACTTTGTCTCACTATTCTGCCTTAACAAGAGAACTACTCAAAATATTAGAAATCATAGGTTAGTAAAAACAAATTGGGTAATCACAATGATGTAAATCATATGAGAAATAGATGATAAAACACTTATACATATTAGTACATTCAGTATGATTTACAGATACAGACATTCTACCTTAATCGCAAACTGTAAAAGAGTATTTAAATTACATTTTAATGTTTTGAAGGTTTTGTACCGATTATTTTTCTATGGTCTACCTTTTGTTCAAATATATCCTTAAATTATATAAACTAATTTGTCCATTAATCTGTCCATTATGTTCAATCTTCTTTAAGTTCAGTTGCATATTTTAAGAGAAAAATATTTTCTTGCTTTCTTGAATGACAGGAAATACTGCAAACCAGGTTTGTTTTAGTGGGAACCAAAACAGAGTTACTGAAACCTTCTAGTGTGAGCAGTTCATTCACCAATGGTGCATGTGTTGTTCACTGCTATTGGCACAGCGTAGTCTTCTGACTAATACAGGGACTCAAGCTGAGGTTTTTCTGTGCAGACTTTAAAAGGGTTGTTTAGTAACAGTGTAGAGTTCTTCTGCATATGTGTACACATGTGTAGGATTGACATGTATGCATGCATCAGGTATGAGTATAGGCACATGCATGTCTGCTGGTCTTTGTACATATGCATGTATATATGTATATATCTGTCGCTTTAAATGTGTATATCTGTGTTCCTATGTGTTTGCTTATAGATTTAGTCTGTTTGTCAGACCGAACACTGTCTCAAATTGATCCACTTCATCCTATTTCTCTTGTGTAAGAACATCATGACTGATTGTTGACCCCAGAGTCTCTCTATTGTAATCTCCATGAACAAACCTGTGTTTAAATTTCTGGAACCCCTATCATTTTGTAATTTAGCAAAAGTCCTGTCATTGTGATGAATGTAACTTTAAATATATTGTACGTGTACCTGTCTTTTTACATTATATATCTAGAATTAGGTGTTAAATTGTGTACAAATTATTAGGTGCTGAAGTGAAGAAAAGACTGTAGAAAGATCTAGTCACAAAAGTGAAGAAATTTGGAAATAACAAGCTCAAAGCAGCTCACATAAATAGGATTACTGCTTCAACAGCTCAGCATGTTTACATCATCTGGCCAATTGAGAAGTCTGTTTATTTATGTTAACTACATAATCCTAATGACCACAGATAGAAGAAACAGACAACTCTGTGATTCTGTTTGAGCATTAGCATAGAGAGATAATAGCCAACACTGGAAATTGATCAAGTTTAAATGACTTGTATTGAAGATTGATCATTTGTGAATAGTCAACACTGCAATCAAGGTGTGTTGCTGTGATTAAATCTTGATATAAAGGCTTGAGCCTGATAGAATGGATACCTTTAAGATAAAGGCCTCAAATAACAGATGCAGGGAGACAGAGATGAGTTTATGTAACACTGAAAAACTGTGTGCACTGAAAAACTAACAAACACACACACACACACATATATATATACACTGAACATGAACATTCTTTGCCACTGAATAAACACAATGAATGCCTGCTACACCATCACACATCATTAAAAAATCCTCATCTGGCATAATCCCCAGAAGCTCCAAGTCTAATGACGGTCTTACTCTAAGTGTGTTGGTAATATAAACCACAGCCATTCCTTTATCCACTGCTCACTCACTCATTTCAGACTGACCAAACAGTGTTCATTACTTCTGCTTTTGGATTGCTCAAGGGAAACCTAAGAGGGAGGCAGAATGACACACAGAAAGAGAGATTCTGCAAGAAAAGAGAAAGGAAAAACAAATGTGAAAGAGGAATATGCAGAAGAAGTATCCTTTAAATGACAGTACACCGCTGTGTAAAATACTCAATTACAAGTAAATATCTTCCATTCAAAATTTATAAAAGGGAAATAGTTTGACATTGGGGAAATATGCTTTATGGCCAAGAGTCAGATGAGATTATCAATACTACTTTAATGTCTGTACTATACAGATGAAGATCCAGCCAACAACCAGTTAGCTTAGTTTAGCTCAAATCCTGGAAACATAGGGATCTATCTAGCATGGCACTGTCCAAAGGGGACAGGTAAAAGTATTATTAACAAAGTGCACTAACAGAATTAAAAGTGAAAGGCTGCTGCCACCGCCATATAATTATATAATTTGAATGTTTTACTAATGCATTTACATGTAAGCAGCATGTTAATGTTGGATCTGGTTGAAGTGGAGCTGTTTTTAACAACTTGTTACCTTAAGTATAACAAAGTACTGTATTTTTTATGCTTTTCATGGGTTTTTAAATCTTAATCAGGAAAGTAATTAGTAGCTGTGAGATGACAGTTGCGGAGAGTAAAAGGTACAATATATTCCCCTGAAAGGGGAAATATATTGTAGACTTGTAATTGATTCACTTTTCACCACTGATGGGATTGTAAGAGAGATCAGATATCAGGGAAGGCTGAGAGACAGAAACAGAGTGAGGATGGCACAATGAAAAAGTAATCAAACGGACAGACAGATGTACAGGCTTTATCTTTCAGTCAAGCCATCTCATTCAGTCACTGAGCCACTACCTTGACACAGTAAGGACAGGGACCAGAGCAGGTCAAGTTAATGTGTCACCACATTGTGAAATCATTGTGTGAATGTGTGCAAGTCGTGTAGAGCTGTAAAAGGAGAAAGGGAGGGTTTATGGTCAAAGGGGCTTATCTCAACGATTGATCCTCTGGTATAAAATGCCTGCAATGGCTGAAGCTCAGAGTGGACATGCTGCTTCAGCACTGAACCTCCAACCCAACTACTCTCTCCCTCTCCTTACAGTTTACCATCAACGCCTTTCTCTTCTATCAGCCATGGGAGTTGCATACAGCGTTGGAGAGTAAGTGAAACAAATCATCATAGCATTTGTGAACATTGTTCTGCTGGGTCCTGTTATCACGGCGCTAAACAGATTTTGATTTGCTTGCTTCAGTTAATTCAATCAAGAAAATATGAGCTTAGACTTGCAAAGACCATTGGATTATGACAACATTTTAAAACCAATCTTCTAAATTTACATGTGCAAGGGGGAGTTATTTTTATCATTCTATGGTAGAAAGAGGTTTTTGCAGTGCAGACTGGTATGTGGAGCTCAAAGAGTGAACAGTTGTATGTATAGCTGGAACAAAATCAGAAAGGGAGGAGTAGAGAAAGAGAGAAGCATGACTAAGTTAAACATTCCTAAATCACTTCCAGGACTTCGGCAAGGAATAGCAGAGAAGTCAGTCTCTTCTGGGGAACTGTAGGAAGGAAGTAGCAGAATTCAACATGAATGGCAGGGGTCCCCAATGTACACTTATGGTCTCGGTTAGCCTTAGTCCAGCGGGATTAATGCTAAAAGATGCATGCTTCACTTTCCTGGCATTCATTCCAGGCAAGTCTCAACAGATATTAGAGTATGGCAGAGTGGCATTTGCGCAACTTTCAAATAGTTTTCTCTTTCATGGGAAGGTTGATGTCACTGTCATTAATGCTTTAAAGAAGAGATGATGTAACATACAGTGTTGATTAAAATCCTTTAATTCTAGCTATAGCAGGCCACATGAATAAAGACTCATTTAGGTACAATATACAATGATTATCTGTAAGTAAAAAGTGCACTTTGCCCCTTTGCTTTGACAGGGTTGATCACCTCTACACCTTCTTTGTGCAGTGGTCACCAGAAATCTATACCAAGGGCAACAAGAAGCACCGGCAGCCCCGCTACCTCATTAGAGAGAAACATCAGAAACGCTATCTGGTAGTGGAGAAGAACAAGATGGCTGTGATAAACAAGCTCCTCAGTAACCCTGTCAACTCCACTGTGAAAAACTGGGAGGTAAGGTTTGCACAAACACACACACATAATGTAAGGTTAAACAAAAGCCATCTGTCACTCTCAATAAATCTCCAATTGCAGGTTTACATTAGGTCAAGACAATATGCAACAGCTTTTCATTTGTAGATTAACATGAAGTATTCCCGACTTACAGTAACTGAGGCACTAAACTGCTTGGCAGTTATCCCAGAGGTTGTGGGAAATCCCACTGTTTCTAAATATGGGCATCTTTCTTCCTCCACATCCTCTACTTTCCTGTTTAGAGAGAAAAGAAACTGTTGGGTATCAGAGCCAACCAATGAGAAGCTGCTCCACTCAAGTTTCCAACCAATGACATTTCAGACGTAGAGAGTAAAAGTAACCCAGAAAGAGTACAAAAGGGATGGATGCTTGCTGGTTTGGTTAGCAGACATGTGGTACTACAGAGTGCAGAGCTTGACAGAGAAACCAGGAGACATGAAGCTGCTGCTAGAAAAAGTCAAAGTGCTTTATTTTGCCAGTAACTGTGTGGAGCCGTATGTTGAGGTAGGACTACTATGCTGCATGTCCTCATTTTAGGAGATACTGCATTTATGGGGTAAAATACTTTACTTTAGGGGTAAAGCATGTTTTATATCACCCATACATCCTAATCCAGCAATCCAGTTATGAACAGTTGTGATGCTGCTGTGTTTAACCTGTCCCTGCATCTTGCAACTTACTCCTGCAAGAACATGTTTACTCTAGATTTTACATGAGCAGTATCTGTGAATGAGTCAATTAACCACAGACCACACGGCTGTACAGTAAAATGTCACTAAAACAAAACTAGGACATGTGAAAAGTGAGAGCATGAGGAGGGTTGATTTCTGACTGTCTTGATGCATCTTGTGCCCTCATCCAGATTATCACAGTGAAGGACTCCAAGCGACGTTTGAGTCTGTGCAGCTCGGAGGGCTCCGAGGCAGAGGAGCCCGAGGACCAGGAGGAAGTTAACCTCCCTGTCCTTGGTGACCACAGCCAGCTGCTGGATGAACACCACCTGAAGAGAGTAAGTTACTGCAACACAAAATAATCCAAGTGGATGATCTGGCAAAGATTACAGTCATCAAGAAATGTTTTGCCTTTTAGTGTTACATCTTTTGATCAACAACTCCTTTTCCAACAGCTTTCTACTCAGATTCCAGCAAGGACCCAGGGGTATACATGGCAACTGGTCTACAGCACAGCTATCCACGGTAGCAGCCTGAAGACTCTGTACAGGAATATGGCTGATCTGGACAGTCCTGTGCTGCTGGTCATCAAAGACATGCACAAAAAGGTTTGCATCTTTATTTTAACTCTCCAACACTTTTCAGGACCCAACTGCAGTCACACTGATACTTTGATTAACAATTATGTCTGTGGGTAACAACCTGTTTTCTTGGTCTTTTCAGGTGTTTGGGGCCTTTTCTTCCGAACCGTTCAGAGTCAGTAAATACTGCTACGGCACTGGAGAAACCTTCCTGTTCAGCTTCAACCCTGACTTCCAGGTAAGAGTTTAATTATGTCTTGTTAGTCTGGTTACAAATTATATCTACCAGAGATCTAGTGTGTTGTTATTACGAGAAATTATTTTTTTTCCTCATTTATATTACAGTTTGCAACCATTTAAGAGCAATTGTCTAGTTTAGGACATTTTTGTTAAGTATGAATTTCACATATTTTTGAATCATGTGCACTGGATTTGAACACACGTTTCTTATGTGTCACATTTGGCATTTTCACAGGCGTACAGGTGGAGTGGTGAGAACTCCTATTTTGTGAGCGGCAACCTGGAATCTCTGGCGATTGGAGCAGGAGGGTAAGTTATGAGGTTGATTTAATTAATTTCCTCTATAAAATACAGACTAAAGGAAATGGCCCACAGTCAATCTGTCAGTGTCATAAAGTAATTAAAAGAACCATATAATATTTACTCTAACTGCTACCTGATATCCAGGATTACAGTTCCTGTTATCTGAGAGCATAAAACATTAGCAGCTTTTAAAAGAGTTTACATTAACGTTCTATTTTTTCTTGGTCTGCAGGGGCGGATTTGGCCTGTGGCTGGATGATGATCTATACCATGGTTCAAGCTTTTCCTGTCCCACCTTCCACAATGAGTCTCTCTCCTCACAAGAAGACTTCATCGTACAAGACCTCGAAGTCTGGACTGTGCAGAACTGAGGGAGAACATCTGACAAGATGAGATGAAAACAAAGTAGAACCCACTGGACTGTCAGGAGTTACAAAACTTCTAGACTTCAAGGACCATGGGTGATTTAGCCACACTGTACAAAACCTGATAGGGCAGTTTCTATCATCTGTGCATCTGGCTCAGATTAGCCAATAGTATGAAGCCTGCTCTAGTGGTTCTTGGGCTGGACTTTCTCTTTATACTGGTTTGAACCGCGCCTGTTAACAAGTGGCTGGATGAAATCCTGAAATTCAGGGTTGGCTATTCATCAGTAGCCCCTTGCTAAGCACAGTAAGTAACTAGCATGTGAAGCTTTAAGCCCTTCAGTGCTCTCCCTTGGCTGTGGACGTTATAATACAAAGCTCACAGTAGCACTGGTGGATAAAAAAAAGTCTGTAACAACTGTAAGCACATTAATTTAATTGATAGAGACAGGAAAGGGAGGTGAGAGAGAGGGGATAACACGCAGCAAAGGGCCATAGGTCGGACTCGACCCTGGGCCGCCAAAACAGGGACGCTGGAGTGTTGGTACATGGGGCGCCAGCTCTAACAGATGAGCTTTCTAGGCACCCCAGGAAGTTTTCATTTTCTGTCTAAAAACTGAGCAGGTTTGTGAAAAGTATCTTTAAAGTAAATCTTTAATGTAAAGTATCTTTAAGACCAAAAAAGTTTAGTAATTAATTTATGGTAAAAACACTGAAACATGATAGGGCCCACAATGGCCTATCTGGACTAATTGTACTAAGTGTTTTCTTACATGAGGTCTGATTTTAATGTTCTCCTTTTTAAAACTACAGCTGCAGATGGTGACCTATCTACTCAGGTTCAAAAATAAAAGTATAGGGTTACACTATAAACAATTATTATCTGTGATGTGTGCTGTTTGTGGAGGAAGGGACCTCAACTGTTAACTGTCATTTCTGTTTTTGGAAAGTGACACACCTGCTGCCTATTTGCCTAAATGGAAAATATTTTATTAAGAAATAGAAAACATTTTGAATCTTTAATTTTTTTTTATTTTGCTATCTATCTATTTAAATGTATTTAAGAAAAAAAAACAGATAAGCAAAGCAAAATTTCATGTTGTTCCTGTTTGTCTGTTTGTTTTACATTTCTTCATGTTTGTGTGTAAATCTGAGTCTGCCAGGCAGTGCTGGTACTGCCACTGTAATTTTGTGGAACCACATTAACACTTTTTCTTTCCTGGTGAAAGATGATGTTTTCATAGCATTCATATTTCATTATGAATAAATCCTTAAAACAACATCAGATATTTCTCTTTATTATATTTGTGTTCAATTTTCTCTAACATAGCTGCACAGAAGGCCACAGAAATACCACATTAGAATTAGCAAAGAAATTTATGTTTGTTATTGTATGTTTGATAGCAAAATAGTCAGAAATTAGAACCTGCATCACAGGTTTGATTCGATGTTTTGTTTTCTAGGCTATAGTACAGCATTTTATATGATATGTGGAGAAAAGTGTAATGATACTAAGAAATTAGAAAGCAAGAACAAAATAATTTTAATCAACAACAAAACATTTGAGAGAATTTAGAGGTTGATCTGCAAAATACCAGAGGAAAAAACAAGCCAAACCACAGCAGATTTCCCAGTATAGTGGGTGCCCACACCCACTACACTGTGCTCACAGACTCGTACCCTTTCCATGGAAACAAGTTCACAGAAAGGCCAAAAACATCAACAAAAAAATACATTTATTTATTTTTAATCTTTAATATTGCTGGCTTCAGACCTCAGCATAAAGTGTGTAACATTTAGGAGGATCTATTATCTATCAATTCTCCCCTTTTTAATAGGACCACATAGTCACACTAGTCCAAAAGTCTCAGGTTAGGTTAAAATGTAGCTTCATCCTTATTGCTGTAAAGAAACAGTCCTGTCCCTAGAGTCACCAACCCCCATTACAATGTGACTGAATTTTTGAGTAAAATATAGGGAAGCCAAATTACTTCATGTGCAAAATAATGAGGGATGTGTGTTTTCATGAAGCACATTGATACGCTGAATTCAGGCATTTGACAAAAATAGGAAAAGTTAGAAAAGTTAGACAAGGATTTTGGACAATTAAGTGATACAGTTGATAATCAGGTAAATTGAGTTACCATATATAACATGTTAAACCACATCGCTCTCTGGTGGCAGCATTCTTCCCTTGCACTTTTAGATCGGCAATCTTTCGGTTTCCCCTTGTCAGCTCGATGACCTCTGGGATCGACTGTGCGGTCTGACAGTTCACTGTACAACGATGGCAGGAGTCGAGGCTACACAAGGATATGACAAAAAATGTATTTTCTGCAAGATTGTAAACAATGAAATGGGCACGGAGCTTCTTCACAGTGTGAGAATATTGTATTTATTAAATAATATTGAGTGCCAGGCTAGCTAGCGTTAGCCTGTTGCCTTTGTAGACAGCTGTGTTCAGAAGCAGCGTAAGTTAATTAGCTCTGTAACAACTGGCTTTGTGAGGATGTAGCTAATGTTTCCTTTTCTTTATGTAACGTACGGTGTAAGTTAATTGTAGTAACATTTGTATTCAGTCCTGTAGTTTATAGTTTTATAGATTTACTGGTCTGTTGCGTTGTGTTGTTGGGTGTGCCTCAGGGTTTCCCCTTTAAATTCACGGGTTGTTGTTGGTGTGTTGTGTTCTAGCTTGGTCCTGTTTTATGTAGCTCATGTTTGCCAAACCCTTTCACACCAAGGTCCCTTGATACATTCAGCTACATTTATTTAATCTGAAATACACGCTCACTGGAGGTTCCTGTTTGTAAACCACAGTAGAAGCTAAGGAGGTCTTCAGTTAGGTGAATACATATGTAATTTAATTAAATTAAATTGTAGTTATAGTAATAAGTGCACAGAAATAAACACTACAGTCTGTTCCCATTTACCCTTCCAGTCCTGAAGCTGACTTATTAATATTATTTGCTGACTAATTCATTTATCTCCGCTGCAGGATGAGGAAATCTCGTGTTTCAGAGACATCAAACCTGGAGCTCCCCACCATTACCTGATCGTCCCAACCAGACATGTTGGGAACTGTAAATCACTCAGCAAAGAACATGTGCCTTTGGGTGAGGTTTAAACTAAAGGTCTTATTGCTGGTGCTTGTGTAAATGGTTGCAGTTGCATAGATAAACGTATAGATGTAGCAGTCCTGTGGACAATTGTATCTTGTGTTAGCTATTTGTCAACTGAATAAAATATAGTTAATTAAAAGCGATACTCTTTTTCAGTCAAACCCCTCTTATTTTAAATGACAAATTGTATTGTGTTTAAAAAGGAACATGTGCTTGTATTGTCACATCCAGTGAATCGGATGATCGAGACAGGAAAGGAGATCCTCCAGAAAAACAACGTAACAGATCTCAGTGATGTCAGGTGGGCTGCATTGAGTGGAACATTTTATAGTACACAGCTCTCCTCACTGATGGTTAATTCCTCCCTCACCTTCCAAGTGCTGAGGAGAAACTATGGTGGCCGTAAAATGTGCGAAAAACGTGAACAACCCTATTTAGAGACAGTGTTTAGTTTGTCTACTTTGGGCTACTGTAGAAACATGGCGGTTTAACATGGCAGATATAAACGTCCCTTTCTAAGGTAACAAAGACATAACGATTCTTATTTTCAGATGAATACACTAATAAAATCATACCTATGAATATTATATTACATTTCTGTCAATAGATCCTACTAAATGTTACACACCCTTTAATAACGATTAATATTGATAATCAACACTGCGTGTCTAGATAGACAAACAAGCAAACAATCCACAGTGATGCTAGGTGATGATAAATATCACAGTATCTATAATGTAGTGTAAACATTTCAGTTTACACTACATTAAACTGTTCTCCAAGTGAACAGTATTATTTAATCTAATGGACAACTGATTATTTAGCTTTGGTAACATATCTGTTGCTTTGTTGGCGTAGCGACAGTGAGACTGTGCAGTAAAGCCTTTACTTTGTCTGCAGGTTTGGTTTTCATTGGCCTCCGTTCTGTTCTGTCACACATCTACACCTTCATGTCCTGGCACCTGCCAGTCAAATGGGCTTCATGTCCCGCCTCTTCTACAGACTCAACTCCTATTGGTTTATCACGGTAAGCCCCCTCTTCGGTATTTGTAATAGAAATGCAATTGTACATTTAAAGATCTGTAAATATCCATATCATAAAATAATCATTTCTTGCCGGCAACATGGTTTAAAAGTGTAGAGGCAGTTCACTAATAATTAATATCTAATAATTCAACAGGCCCATTGTTTTTACTGATCTTTCATGTTTCTCTAAGTCACTCACTAAGAGTGTGTTCAGTTTCTTTTCACAGAAGTATTCATGTGAGAATGAGAAAATATGGTGGTGATTGATTGGCTTACACTTATAAGAGCCAGCCTCTGCCTCCTGATGCGTGAGGAATTTACAGTATAAAAGCTGGTATTATAGCAGTAACTGACAAGAGGTCAGTCGCTGTAGATCATAATCAACTCATGAATCTCATATTTAGTTCAGTAATTCTCTTAGTGACACCAACCTGTGGTGCCACCAGGTAAGACTTTTAGGTCAGGTGGTATTGCTGAGCAGCCTGTGAATGTAGCAAAAGACCTTTTTATTTGGGCGCCCATATTAACAGATTAGAGCAGTCACAGCAGCAGCCACAGCTGACATGCTGTAAACACTGCGCCAGACACAGTTGTTCAGGTAGGCAGTGTGAACCAAAGGTGAGTCTAATTTCTGTTCTGTCCATGTCTGTTAATGTGTTGCAGGCAGATCAGCTGATTGAGCTTCTCAACTCTAAAGGAGAGACCAACTGATCACTTGCTTTGGATCCAGTTCTTTTACGACTGTGATGAAGTGACTGAAATATCCACCTTCTTATAGATGTCATTTTGGATTATACACAGCCACATTAAGTTGCTCTCTGTTTGGCCGGAGCTGACGACAGTATTTTAAACTGGTGACATATTTGTGACAAGAGACCACTTGGTTTTATTTTTGGTATCAAAACTTTTCAGACTGTATGCCAAATCTTGTTTCTTGCTAATTGAGACATGACACATATGTTCAAGGATCAAGGTAAACAAATTTTTTTTAATATTTTTACAGAAGAAGATAATTGAATCTCCATTAATCCGCCATAATAAAATGTATTTACGTTATGGACCAAGTAGCATACAGTGTGATTAACATCTGTTAATCACCAAAGACAATGCTGAAGGCATCCTTTCTTTGTATTGAATGTAAAGGTGAACTGAGTGGAACAGTAGATGTATTGAGGTGGTATTTCAACCAGAAACGCACATACAATTAATGGTTTGATTTCTTGACATGCAGGACTCTGTTAATGCTTTACAAATTTGATTTTATGCATGTGTAACAGAAATTAATCTAAATCTTTTTTGTTTAATTCATATACTGACACTATTGCTGTGTATACTATGTTATGTTGAGTTATATCTTTACTGATGGGCATTTTGTGGCCTAGACTGGCTCGGCTGCTTTACAGTGGAGGCAACTAAGGCATCCTCTGATGTTCTAAAGGGTGCTTAATGATCTCAACAAGCACTGAAATATAGTGCAGTATTTGTTAATACATGCTCAATTTTTTGATTTGGTGTAATGTCTCAAGATTGTATTCAGATATATAACATGAACTGATTGGTTGGTGCATGAAGTGAACAGGTACGCTCTACTTTACTGCTGAATGTTAAGGAATGTAAAGAAAGACGATAATACTGTATGTACTGTACGAAAGTGTATGCACTTTAAGAATGAATTGAATTTAGAATAAATAATATATTGCTGCTCCTCAGTGTGTTTCTAATGTACTGAGTCCTAGATATCAGTTTACATTCTCTCTCCCAGTCATTGGTTTAACTACACCAGTCAGTGCTTACAGTTCACAAAGCACAGACAGTAACACAATAACAGAGAGGGCACTGTTCTTTCTTTCTTTATTATACAGTAAGCAGTACTTGGTAGTTGTTCAATATACTACTGTCTTATGCTAAAAAAATTATTAGTTTGCATGGCCATTGTGTTTAATAGCAGCAGATATTATGGCTCATATCAGTCAGTGCATAGTTTACTATGTAGTTCTCACTCCATTAAAGCACCGTTTTTAGTTCATTGAACATCTGTCTCACTGTGGAGGTTTACCAAGTTTCAAACTCTAATGACAAAAAATTACAAAGCACACTTGTAATAAATAAATGCTCTGGAGCACCCAAGCCAAGTCAGATCAAGTTCATCCTATAGCACCATATTGTCTGTCACAGGCAGCCTCATGTTCTCTTTGGCTTTGGTTCAGTCTCATTAACCACTCTGACTTCATTTCAGCTGCTCACCGCTACACTTTCCCCGCATTAAAAAGCTAGTGAAGGAAATGTAGCAAAAGGGATTTCTTTTAATCTCTCCACTGTTATTTAGAGCCGGGGGATTCAGCGTCACTGAGAGAAATCTAGTGTATGAAACGCATGAAAATCTACTATTTCTGAACACAGCTACAAAGATAGATGCCGTATGTTTAGCATGAGGAGAAAATGCAGCAGTATGCCTAATGTACATTGTGCAGGGAAGTGGTGTGGATGTTTACCCACTGAGGTTTCTTAAGTAAGCAAAAAAAAAAAGCAATTTTTTGAAAATAAAAGTGCCATTACGTCTTTAAAGCACAATTGTGTGCAGTCCCCTGCTTTTTGAATACTACAATGAGTGCTGTCATGAAGTAGCTCTACATATGTTATGCATGTAACGCATGTGAATCAAGGCATAAACGCTATTCCAAGTTTTTCATCACTGCAACAGAGTGATAACCACATGGTCATCCTGCCCCTGCCACAGCATTTCCCCCTCAAATTCAACCAGCCTCTGCTTCCTCGCTCGTAGAAGAATCCCCACCAGTTTATTAGAGATAGTCACATAACGCTCAAACAGTTTCCCGAATTCTACAGTGACCACCCCGTCTTTGTCTCTGGGCTCTCCAATGTTCCTTATCACCTCACACAGCTCCTGAACCTCTCTGCTGATGTGTGTGTGAGCATCCTTCCCCCGCTGCTCTGTCATGGAGCCCTGCAGGGGCCTCCCGTAGTCATCCTGCCCCCTCAGAGGGACCACCACACTGGGCCTGGTGTCGTGACTGAAGGGGTTGTGCTTCTGGTACTCCTGGTGCTCATTGGACCACTTCTGCCAGTTCTCCTTTAAACCTTTCACAGAAACGATGCACACTGCAGTGTCGTCGCTAAACTGAGCAGGAGCTAGGACGTTATCTTCAGTTCCCATGCCCGTGGGGCTCTGGCTGTTCGTCCCCATCACTGATTCTGTTGCACGGATCATAACATAGTTTTGATTAGTAATTTCTACATACAGAATAATGTATACTCAATGATGTTGTACTCAACGAATTATAGCCATTTAATGGTTTTATTGCTTTATTATTTTAAAAAACAACAACCAATAATCATCTAAATACTCTTTGGATTTACAGCTGAATGTTATATTTCACCTGTTTCCCTGTGTTTTTGTGATCCAGCTGTGTAGATCTGTATAGGAATTAATGGTAAGTGATGATTGAGTTCAGCTGTTTTAGACCACAGTCTGAATCAATTGACAAATCATAAAAACTAAAGAAAAGTGAAAACACAAAATCAGTATCAGTTCATTAAAAAACTAGAAGAAGTGAACATCCTGCTTTGTAAAGTCAGTACAGAGATTTGAGTTATTAACATGATCCAACTTACATGTCACACACTGAGTCGATCCTCACTTCACCTGCAGAGATCTTTCATTTCGGCCGAAGTGCAAACCCATCCTGTGGTTAAACTGTAACTGTGTTGTTCACTTTAACAATATTGCAGCAATGCTGACAGCAGCAGAGTGCGGACGGTCCTCTGTCCCGAGGCAAAACCACTGTGATGGACATCCGTCTCGGCCAATGGGCTGTGAGAGCAGATCCGGGCAGCCAATCACTGACCAGAGAGGGAGACAAGGTGGCTCTGAAGTAAAGCAGATTACAGCCTGGAGAGGAGTTTATCCGGGCACACCAACCAATAGTGACTTATTGATAACAAAAAGGTTGCTATAGGTGACATGTTGTTGTTTTGGTAAAGACAAACAAACCAACCAACAAGCAATTTAACATAGCAACTTCAATTCGGACAAAGCCACCATATTATATTAAATTATATTATTAAATCTTATATTAGCAGCAGCCAGTGGAAACATCTGTTATCCGCCTGTAGATATGTATAAAAACCCGCAAACAAAAACAAATAAACACGTTGCATAATTAACTTCCAGACAGTGTGTTGTAAGAAAACACCTCATTCTTTTCCATGTATGGTGATTTGTTGACCGGGCGGTACTTTGGGTCTGAACCCGGTTTCAAGCCGGACGTTTTATGAATGTGCAACAAAAATGTCGACCACCAGCAGTCGTTCACGCCTTCAGTATCTATTACATCTCGCTCAGGATAATCTGGACTTCAGGTTGCCGGTAACCGTCTTACACTACTGCCACTTTATACCTAGCTGTGGTTGTGAAAGGTTCAAGTGTTGGTGGAAACTGAGGAGGTGACATTAAACTACAGCCGCTGCTGTGCTACCATGGCTACTTGCTAATTCAAACTGTAACATCTGTCTCATCTGTTTGTGCAGCGGGGACATTACAGTGAGAGTTTAACAGGAGAGGTTCCTCATTTATTCATATGATAATAACTCAACTCTCCACCTGACCTCCCTCTGTGATCTCTTAGCGACAAATGTTGGTTCAATCTATCTCTGATGTGTACACATGTGCAAATCTTACTGTGGGAGTAACCTGCATGATAGGTGACCTGGACGAGTGGACGTTATAGTCTTCATCTGCAGTAATGCATTTCACTGATTCTTACACATGAAGATCAGTTTTGACACTACACATTTATAACAACAAACAAACTGGGGCGTTAGAGTTTGAAAGACTTTGGCATTTATCAGACAAATGGGCCTAAATGCTAAATTGTATGATCCATAAAATTCAGGATATTTCCCCTTTAGATTCATTGAATTATTAGTCGTCCCTGTTATCTGTCTCTTTTATAATCTCTCCCCCTTTATGAATGTGCAATACTAAATATATCTACCTATATGTGTGATGTTTTCTAACAGATTGTAATGCATGTATCAGTATTTATTATAAATGTACTCATTCTTCCAGGAGATTAAGGCTTTGTTGGCCCTCAGAGGAAAAGCATTCCAGCCTAATGGAAACTTCAAAGAAAAGGTTTGCAAGTGTAATGTACTTATTTTTATTCTTGTCCTTTTTCTTTTAATGCTTTGAGGTTTCTGCCCTGTAGACCCACACTCACTCCTCTTCTCTCCTCTCTTTAGTCTCCTTTCTGGTGTCTGGATGGTTTGTCCGAGGAGGACGTCCGTGGCATCATGGCCAGATCTGTTTGTGCAAAGTAAGGACCAGACTTTAGGACTAGTGTGTAGGATTTAGTGGCATCTAGCAGTGTAGCTCAGATTGCAGCTTCTTTGTTTCACCTTCCAAGTGCAAAGGAGAAACTATGTTTGTCACAAAAACGTTTGGTTTGTCCGTTCTACTGAGCCACTATTGAAACATGACGTCCTCCATTGAAGGCTGTAGCTATAAAAGGCTCATTCTAGTGTAACAAAACCATAACGATTCCTATTTTCAGGTTTATACACTAATAAAAACATACCTATATTCCATTCCTGCCAATACACTCTGGACCTTTAACATACTCCACATATTACCATCCATCCTAATGTTTGCCTTGTTACCATGGCAGTACTTTCTGGTCTATAAGTGGCTAAGATGAAGCTGTAGCTCATGTTGCTTTATCCTTTCAGGTCTGCTTTTGAACTATGGGGCCACGGAAAAACACACAGTGAACTCAGAACATCCCTCTTGAACTACCCATCAGAGAACATGGTTGGTGACATAACGTCTTATAGCACCACTGTGTTTGACCGATCGCTGCAACTTTTTAGTAAACTATCCATATGTAACACAGTCTAAGCTGGTGTGTTTAATTTCTGTTTGTGCTCTTCCTCCATGTTGCCGTACAGTCACCGTTCATGCACAAAGATTCAACTTACAGAATAAATGTCTACACTTTCAACAAGACTCTGGAGTTTTCAGACAGAATCAAAAGGATTGATGTAAGTATTTATATGTGTGTGGAAATAATCTGAATGAGTGCATGTGACAGCACAGAAATGTGTGTGCTGTATATGCATCGTTGAGTGCCTGTTTGTATGTGCCGAATGTCATGTTTTGTATTCTCTCTCCAGGCTATGGATTATCTTCCTTTTGAAGGCGCAGTGAGCCTAAAGAGCTCTCAACACATCTTCTGTTTGATGGAAGATTACGGCACAGACCCAAACAACATCCCAGAGCACCCAGACTACATCTACTTTGGCCGATGGGTGAGATACATTGGACTGTTTACATTTGATGAATAAGAGGTGATCTGCAACTCAACACTTTCCATCTTTACACACTCCTGCACCAGATAGCGGATGGACAGCGTGAACTGATTCGCTCCCACAGTGTGAAGAACAGACACTTCATTGGAAACACCAGTATGGATGCTGGGCTCTCATTCATTATGGCCAACCACGCTAAGGTCAAAGAGAATGACCTCGTCTTTGACCCGTTTGTCGGCACAGGTGAGATGATCCTTTCACAGACTCTCACACAAGTGCGTAGCTTTATGTGGTCAATAAATATTTTCAGTTCTTTGTATCTTGGTGTGTTTCAGGGAGCCTGTTGGTAGCATGTTCTCAGTTTAGAGCCTATGTCTGTGGAACAGATATCGATTACAACACTATTCATGGCAAAGGTAAGTTTACAAGTATGTGACAAAAGAGAGCACACATAGTCTGAAAATAATGCTCAATGTTTAATTAAGTAAATGAAATGAACTAAATATAGAAAAAAAGGATATGTCTGCAATGTCTGTATGAGTGAGTGGTGAGGAGTGTGTGTATGAATGTAAACACAAAGTACCACCAATAACAAGCGCAGTCAGCAGGTCTGATTTATAGCCTCCAGAGCCCAGCCTGCTCAGCTTCACTCTTCACTTCCTGGAACAAAGAGGAAAGCGCCAACAAGAAAGAACAGAATAGTGCCAACCCCGAGGCCATCACGAGACACAATATACTTTAGTTATATTTTAATTCAAGCATGCAAATATTGTAATTTCTGGACCCTGCTCTGACTGCTTCCAATTTCAGATGTCACACAGATTTCCTGATAGTGCCTGTATCTTTCAGGTAGGTCAAGCCGTAAAAACCAGAAGTGGCGAGGACCTGATGAGAATATCAGAGCCAACCTGCGGCAGTATGGAACAGAGAAGATGTATGTAGATGTAATGGTGTCTGATGCATCCAAGCCTGTGTGGAAGGAGGCTGCTCTGTTTGACGCCATCATTACTGATCGTAGGTCCTTAGTTGACTTTTCACAGACCACTATTCACACTTAAAGCATCCTGAGTTATACAAAACTTTGACAAATGTGTCGATAGTGTTTGTGTAATGATCTTTTGTTTTTTCTTGTTTGTGACTCCTCTTTGGTCCTTTTGATGTCAGCTCCGTACGGTATCCGTGAGTCCACAAGGAGAACGGGCTCCCATAAAGACGTTACTAGACCGCCCGACGGCAAGTAAGTTCACCTGCTCCTATATGACTCCTAAAATTGACCTTAATTTGGTCATAATGAAGCCATATTTTACAGCTGGACAGCCTACAGTGTGCAGATTTTCATTCCAACCTCCTACCTCAGCAGAGTATTTCACAGATGAAAGAAGTTCTTCCCCACTACTTGAAGGATCAGATGGAGTCTTAGTGTCTTAGAGTCTGCTTGGAATGAAAACCTGCAGACTGTCGGACTCTGTTCTAGCAGGGAATTTCTGTTAGCTCTCAGTTATCTTTAGACTTTACCAAGACATCATTTAAGTCACACACTTTTTGGTCTCAATAACTTTGCTCAAGGAAAAATAATGAAAAAAATGTTTTGTTGCTTTGTTGCTCTAAACCTACTTGTGTTTATTTGACTCTCCCACACAGCTACGTAGAGTCTCACGTCCCCGTCTCACAGGCGTACCACCTGAGTGACATCTTCACAGATCTGTTAAACTTCTCCGCCCAGCACCTGGTTATAGGCGGGAGGCTCGTCTATTGGCTGCCTATCTACAGACCAGAGTGAGTGTACAGACAACAATTCTTTTTTCCAGATAATAATTTGTATCAATAGGGGGCAGGCTCATACCATAAACTAGAACTGCACAATACAGGCTTGTAGCGAGGACAAAAAGTTCAACATTTAAATCTACTGTTGGTAATTAAATCCCCCAAATAACCAAACAACATGGAGTAAAGGATTATTATAATGTAAACATTTTATAAAATCTAATTACTGCATATAATTAAAATTGACTTTGTAGATTCATTGTTGACAAATGAGTTAATAGTCTGCTAAATGCTGCTTAATAAAACCCTGGGGTGTGTTTGTAACTGGCACACAAAGGACTTTTCCACCACTCTTTTTATTTAATCTTCCAACATTTCCGTGTAGCGCTATTCCCTTACAACATCGCCCCGAGTGTGTAACCACCTGTGTGAATGACAGTGTTTATACAGAGTAGTATACAGGTGTGTTGAGGTTTTCCTGCCCCAACAGCTGTGTTACGGTAAACCACACCTGACAGCTCCATGATACGTTCCCTCTATAAGACGCCTCTTCTAAAACACAGTTGTGCATTGTTAAATGTTCTGTGCATTAGCAGAAAGTGAAGTGCTGACTCAAGGTGCAGGTGTTTGACTGTAAAGGTAAGAACCACAACAGACAGTGGCAGCAACAAACTTTTAGGAAGAAAACCCCCTGCAGGGCTGGAGGCCCTCCTGGTCACTGATTATAAGACCGAGAAGGAGATGACATAATCATGCATCCTCTGGTTTTTAGTATGTTTCTGGTGTGGTGTGTGTGTGTGTGTGAAAGACAAGCACTTCTACAAACACACCTTGCAAACCTCTGGACCTTTGCTCATGTCGCTTTGTCTCTGTGTGTGTATGCATCTCCACATATACATGATTGTGTGTGGTCCCATGTATGAGCCCATGCATACATGTGTGTCATCATGTTCACACATTTGTCTTTGCTACTCATCTACCGGTGCTTGACTCTGTGCCTGTCAGAGCGCCGTGCCAAAATAAA